CTAGAAATTCCACCTTCCGGGAATCTAGCCTATGGTCCAAAAGTTGGCACCATCATTTACGAACCTTATAAGTTTGGGCAAATTTATTAAAAACTCCATGCTTTAATATTCCCATCTGTAAAATAAGGATAATAAAGATTATCAAGTTGTTATGAGGATTAAATGATGAGTGTACGTGAAGTTCTCCATACCTGGCAAATAGTGCCCACAGTAAGTTGCATACAATGTCAGCATACTAAAATATTATTACCCCACCAGTGCATCAAGTACACATAAAAAGCTATATACAACCAGATTCTTTAAAATAGTGCCAATCAGGAAACTATGGGTTAAAAATATGGTAGAATACTCTAGAGTAATTATTAACAATATAAGAGATCAGTCCCTATAAAAATGATGGAAAAAATTAAAACTATACAAGATACAATGTTAAAGTAGTTATAATGTTGAGTTAGTATGCTACAATTCATATAAATAATGATAATGCAAATGCTGAATAAATAAATTTTGAATGAATATGCATGAAAACAATCTGAACTTACTTAAATATATATATTTGGGTCAGGATTGTGAAAATATTCTAAATTTTTACATTATAATTTTTTTAAAACTTAAATCTTTTTATCTTTATTTATTTATCTTTATGTGGTACTGAGGCTCGAACTCAGTGCCTCACACATGCTAGGCAAGTGCTCTACCACTGAGCCACAACCTCAACCCCTTATATTATAATTTTTAATGTTTGCTTTTTCCAGTAATCATGTTACCTTTGTGGACATTAAAAATCAAAATCATAATAACAACCCAAAGCAAAAAGCAATGACTGGCCATGGGTAGAGAAGAGAGAGGACAGAGAAGAACCCTGACAGTGGGTCCCTTGCTTCATGGACAGGTGATCAGACTCCTGGCCTAGTGGTCATCAAAGCCTGGGGGGGCACTTGAGGGGTCTTGAGAAAGAAGCTGGGTATGGCAGAGACCACTGCGGAAGGCAAACTTCATCTCTGTGGCTGCTTCATTGGCCTTGTTCCTTGTCAGTCTGATGGCCCCACACTGCGCTCCTGTCGCTGCTTTTAAATGAACCCTTTAGAAAGAAGAAAAAAAGAGGGAGCAGATGGGGAGAGTAGGAGAGATGAAGAAAAGAGAGGAAGAGGGGAGCAGTAGAGAGGAAAGAGGAGTGAGGAATACAGTGTCCCTGAATCTCCATGGCCCCAGGAAGTGGGACAGAGAACTGCTCTTCAGCTCTCTGTCAGGAGTCACCATGGAGACGGAGCACTGGTCTCTTCATGATTAATACTCCCAGGCAGCTGTCTTCTTGGAGTCTTTTAAAATATGTACACTATTATTTGAACACAATGATATTTAGAGCAGAAAGATCAAGGTGGGGTGTGGGGGAGGGAACCGTGGTTACCAAGTGCTATGACAGTGCTGGGCCCTTCCCAGAAGAGAGAGAGGGGAGGCTGCCTTTCCCCATCCTACTGGCCCATCCCTTCTCGTCTCGCCCCCTGGATGCAGATCTCCCAGTCTCAGGCACTGCAGCATCTGCATCATAACCTTGCCAGCACCTGCCAAGGGTTATGCTCAATGAAGAGTTGGTGAATGAATTCATTCATTCATTAATTCATTCAGCAAGTGTTTGTTCAGTGCTTGTCTACAAAGCAAACTCTCTTTCCCTCATCTGTCCTCGTGGAAATATGAAATTCCCTCTCATTCTCCCCATGGCCATGCATATATGTACTCATGTGCACACACATGTATACACACCTTACTATCACCACCAACTTCCACAATAGCCCCAAAGGGCTTCCTCCTCAGTGTGCATCTGATGTGACCCATTGTGCTCTCCTAGCCCGTTCACTCCACAGAATTCTTGCAGGGATGAATGCTAGCCAGACTGAGTTTGCATATCTAATTTGAAAAGCTAGAGAAAGATCCTCCATCTAAAGCCACCTCAGAGTGATTCCCTTTGGAAAGTCAATTACCTTTTCCTAAGTTATCTTATGCAGAAGACTAGCCTGGCCTCAACTCTCAGCCCCACCACAGAATAGAAGTGTCCCTTTGGGCAAGTCATTTAACCTTACTGAGTTTTGTTTTCTCATCTGTAAAATGGATCTATAATTCCTTATTTCAAAGATTCTTCTTATGATTAAATGATGTTTGTAAAGTATTCAACTGATGTGATTTCCCCTTTTCCCCTCTGTAAATGTATGTTTTTGTATTTAAAGCGTGATTGAAGTGTAGCTGGTAGATTTAAGCCCCCTTTCTTCCAGTCCCTCCCAAAGACCATTTTTCCACATGGATCCAGAAACTCTTTCTAAGCTGTTAAAAGTTGGGGGGAAGAGGGGCAAAATACTCAGAACCCCCTCCCATTACATTCTTTCCCCATTGTTAAGGAACCAAGTACAGGTGCAAATGCCCCTCCAAAGGCAGCATTCTGTCTGTGTATGTGTGTCCACTAAAGGTGGACACAGAGATGGGGATGTGGATCTGCCCATATCCAGAGCACAAACTTTCACCCCCATCTCCTCTCCTCATCACTCCTACTCTCTAGCTCTCCCCAAGGCCTGGCCTCTAACAAGAGCAAGTAAGAGTGACTTGGACCTAGCCCAACAGCCCTTGGCAGAGAGCAGCAATGGCCTGGCACCTCACTAAAGAACTAGGGGAATTATCCATGACTAAGAAGTAGGAGGAATGCTGTGGCAGAGGGAAGAACAGCAGAAGGGATGGGCAACCTGGGGCTGGCCAATCTGGCCCGACGGGCGACCTGGGGAGCCCTGGACACCAGCCCAGCCAAACTCCTCCCCTCCCCCTCCCTCCCAGGCAGCAAGATGCCAGAGTGTATTTGAAACATGTGTGCCCTGCGTGTCTGGTGAGGGCTCACCTGGTCTTGGCAATGCATTTGGATTACACTCAAACCCTGAGTCTGAATCTGAGTATAAAGAAAATAGTGCTCTGCGTGTCTAATCCTTACAGACAAGTGCTGAGGTTTTACATTTCCTACATGGATATATACCATATTTGAGACCATTTATTAGGACATGCTACAAGTGTATGATTATAAAAAACCAGTATAGACTCAAGGACAAGATGCATTATAAGTGTGCCAACATATGTTTTGCAGGTGACTGTGTGATGGGATATATTCTGTGAATGCACTTATAAGGTTATTGTAGGGAAGGGAAAAGGATAGCTAGGAATGGAGATGGGCTTCTCTGATGGGATAAAAACTAAAATCTACCATCTGTCCCATAATAGACACTTAAGGAATGAATACCAAATGAATGAACATTGAGAAATTGAATGCATAGATGTTTGCATAATGGATGAAGGGTGAAAGGACAACTTGATGGGGTTTGAGCATTCTTGGGCACTCTCTCTAGAATAGGATAATAGAGATGGGGAAGGCTGGAAGGTACACCACCAGTCACACTATAACAAGAAGAACAGAAAAAGGAAAGGGGAGTCCCAGACCTTCCAAAACCCAGAGTCCCAGGAATGGAAGCTCTTCATTGAAAAAAAAAAAAGGTATTCCGTGTATTACTTAATCCTTTCATTTGGTTTTTCCCATAAAGGAGTTAGGTGAGCTAGGATAAAATGAACATTTTTTTAAAAGAATGAGAAAAAAGAGGTAGAGGGGAAAACACAACAGAAAAGAGACTCAAGAGAGAAGGCAGGCAGATTTCTTTGCTGAAGTTGACTCTGACGTTTCTGCAGCCAAGAGTCGCAGCCTTTTTACAATTATGATTTTTTTTTCTTTTTTCAGAGGAACCAGATTATTCCAGATGCCAATTCCAGGGAAATGATTCTCGTAGATTTTCTCTGTGTTGCTGGGAACAATCTTCCTTCATTTATATGAAAGCAGAAAAACAGTCTATGGAATCTTCCCCTCCCCTATGGATGAGGGAGGAGTGAGCAGGAATTGGTCCTACTTCTCTGGAGAACATTTAAATATCCTTTGGCCCAAATTTACACTCACAGGAATTTGTCCCACCTCTATTTTCAAATTATATAGTCAAGGACGATAACAACAACTCCAACAACACTGATAAAAGCAAAAGGTTGGGAAACTACCTACATGCTCATGGATAAGACACTAATTGACTAACTCATGGTCCTCCCTTTCAATGGAGCATACGACATTAGAAAAGAGTGTTTGGATATGGTGCAACCTCTCTCCTATTTTAAGTGAAAAAAAATTATACTGCAGCACAGTGTATATGCTTGCATATATATATATATAAATTTTCTGAAAAAAAAAAACCCTAGAAACTTAAATGTGGATAACTTAGAAGGTAGGAATGAAGGTGGGTGGGGCAAAGAGGGCCCCAAACTTTTCTTTTTTTTAATTTATTTTTTAGTTTTAGGTAGACACAATATCTTTATTTTACATTTACGTGGTGCTGAGGATCGAACCCAGTGCCTCGTGCATGCTAGGCAAGCGCTCTACCACTAAGCCACAATCCCAGCCCCAGCCCCAAACTTTTCAAAGTATAATTTATTCTTTTGTACAGACTTGACTTCCCCCACACCTACACACCTGTAGCAAGTGATGGTATCGTCCTTCTTAACTTGAATGTTATTTTTCCTAGCAGAAATTTGAACAGACACACACATACTTAAAACAAAACCTTAAGAAAATGGAAAATCAGGCATTAATAAAAAACCATAATGGCGATAATCTCTACGGTTTACTGAATGAATGTGCCTAGTGTTCTGTTTCTGTCTATAGCAAATTCAAAGAAGGGATTAAATGTAGTTAAGTGACAAATAGCGGATTCGAACCCCCAAATTGTGGAATCTCACAATCCTCACCGCCCTAGGGCCTTTACCTCCAGGCGGGAAACTCACGTACTGGACGTTCGGCCCCACGCGGCTCACAGCCCATTCGGGCGCACCCGTGGCCTCGGCGCGCACGGGGCTCTTGGCTCGGGGAGCGCGCCCGCACGCAGCGGAGCGGGCTCGGCTGCGGCGGCAGCGACGTCACAGCTCGAGCTTTCCTTTTCGGGAGTCCCCGGCACACATCCTGTGTCCATGTTTGGGCATTTACGTCACGGCGGCAGGGCCGGGGCCTCCCGAAATGGCAGTGGCCCGGGGAGTCGGAAGCCCGGAGCCAGCGACGCCGCAGCTATATAAGTGGGGGGGCTGTGGGTTGGGGGAGCCTGGCTGCGCTTTGAAGAGGCAAGGAGCCGCCGCCCGAGGCCCTCGCGGGCGAGCGAGGGTTCCGGGGCCCCCAGACCCTTTTCCTAGAGGTGAGCGCCTGGAGCCAGAAGCTCGGGTGCCCGGGACTGTGCACCGCGGGGAGCCGCGACCGCCGGCCTCCCCGCAACCTACGTGCCCTCAAGCCCAGCGGGCGAGGCCCCGAGTGCCCCGCAACCGCTGCCGCGCCATGCTCCACCTTAGTGAGTTTTCTGGCCCCGACGCGATCCTCGTCAAGTCCTCCGAAGGCTGTTGCGCCGAACCTAGCACTGAATTGCCTCGGCTGCCCGCCAGGGACACTCCCGCGACCGCTGGCTATCCTGGAGGTAAGGAGCGCGGCCAGGGGTGCTCAGACGGCGACAAAACGCAGGGGCAAGCAGGGATTGGGACGCTGGAAACATAGGGATGGGGGGATGGGAGGCGCAGGGGGTCATGGGGCGCGCACTCCCGTTCCCACCCCCACTAGGCCGCCAGCGCCCCCGCCGGAACCTGTGTGAGTGTGTGTGTGTGTGTGTGTGTGTGTGTGTGTGTGTGTGTGCGCGCGCGCGCGCGCGCACGCGAACCCAGGTATCCTTTTGCCTATGCACGTGTGTTTTGCGTGTGCATGTTTGTATGTGTGTCCTGGGATGTTTGCCGGCCCCTGCTGGATCAGAATGTGCAAAAGGCACTTTGCGTGTGTTGGTGTGCACCAAGGGCTTCGTGGGTAGGGACTGAGGGTTCAGAGGCACGCCCTTTGGTGTGCCCAGAGCTGATTCCTGCTCCCTCCTCAGCAGGCGACTTCTTGAGCTGGGCTTTGAGCAACTGCGGTGCCGGGGGGGACTTGGCTGACTCCTGCTTCTTGGAGGGTCCCGCGCCCACGCCCCCTCCTGGCCTCAGCTACAGCGGTAGCTTCTTCATTCAGGCAGTACCAGAACATCCGCACGACCCGGAGGCACTCTTCAACCTCATGTCTGGCATCTTAGGCCTGGCACCCTTCCCCGGCCCTGAGGCGGCAGCATCCCGGTCCCCACTGGATACTCCCTTTCCCGCGGGCCCCGACGCCTTGCTTCCAGGTCCGCCGGACCTGTACTCCCCGGATCTGAGCGCGGCCGCCTTCTCAGAGGCGTTTTGGGAGGCTTCGCCTTCCTCTGGCGCCCCCTCTCAGTGCCTGTACGAGCCTCAGCTCTCTCCGCCCGACGTCAAGCCGGGCCTTCGGGCGCCTCCAGCCTCTCCAGCGCTGGACGCTGCCTCGGCCTTCAAAGGTCCCTACGCACCCTGGGAGCTGCTTTCTGTTGGGGCCCCAGGAAACTGTGGGTCTCAGGGAGGCTACCAGGCCGCCCCCGAAGCTCGTTTCCCCTCATTAGGGACCAAGATCGAGGACCTGCTGTCCATCAGTTGTCCTGCGGAGCTGCCGGCCAGTACAACCAACAGACTGTACTCCACCGGGGCCTACGACGCTTTCCCGCTGGCCCCAGGTGACTTAGGGGATGGGGCCGAGGGCCTCCCGGGGCTCTTGACCCCTCCTAGTGGGGAGGGAGGGAGTAGCGGCGGCGACGGCGGAGAGTTTCTGGCCGGTACACAGCCTCAGCTTTCCCCACTGGGCCTTCGCAGCACTGCCACCGCGGACTTCCCCAAACCTCTTGTGGCCGACATCCCCGGGAGCAGTGGCGTCACTGCGCCACCTGTGCAGCCACCGGCCCCTTTTCCCCCGGCCAAGGCGCGGCGCAAGGGGCGCCGAGGAGGCAAGTGCAGCGCTCGCTGCTTCTGCCCTCGGCCACATGCCAAGGCCTTTGCTTGTCCTGTGGAAAGCTGCGTACGGAGCTTTGCGCGCTCCGACGAGCTCAATCGCCACCTGCGTATCCACACTGGCCACAAGCCCTTCCAGTGCCGCATCTGCCTCCGCAACTTCAGCCGCAGCGACCACCTCACCACTCACGTGCGCACCCACACAGGCGAGAAGCCCTTTGCCTGCGACGTGTGCGGGCGCCGTTTCGCGCGCAGCGATGAGAAGAAACGACACAGCAAGGTGCACCTTAAGCAGAAGGCGCGCGCGGAGGAGCGGCTTAAGGGCCTCGGGTTTTACTCTTTGGGCCTCTCCTTTGCTGCGATGTGAGCAGGAGCTGGGTTTGTAGGTTGGGGCGCCGCCACTCGGCGCGCACAACAAGATCTGGCCCGTCCCCCCTCCCCGCTCTTTTCCCACCTTTTATTCGCACGCCCCGGGGCCGGCCTCCGTCCTGCTTCCAGTTCCCCTGAAGCGCCCGCTGCACTTGCCCTGTTCAGCACCAGCTCCGTGGATAGCTCCCGCTGTTCAGGCGCTGTATTCCTTGTGAGCCGCTTTGGGGAAAGTCTTCTCAGGCCACCCACTGAGGAGGCACTTCCTTGGGACTCATGATAGTCTTTTGTAACTGGCTCACACCCCACGCCGTCCTCTATACCCCTACCCCACAGACAGGCTGGGGCTTCGCCGAGCCGGTCTCGCGCGGGACTTTGTACAGCAATGTCGTTTCCAGCAGCAATTGGATGTAACGTTTTGCTTTGGGGTTATTTCCTTTTTGTTGTTGTTAATTTTTGTAAAGCAGACGCTACTCTCAAGCAGTTGACAAAACTGTTTATTTTTGCAATTAAAATTATTGTGCTAAAAGCTTACTGAATCTGCCATGTAAGCTCCTAACCCTTCCACAAACAGCTTCTCCAGGACAGCATGTGCCAGAAGACAAAGGCTATCCCCATGTTCATGGGTTACAGGCCCTGAATACATTACACACCTACGTCAAGCACACCTACCAGGCACTGTGACACATAGTAGGCATTCAATAAATATGTATTGAATTAATGAATGAATTTAATCATAGCTGATCTAAGATCTAAAAGTGTTTCTGGATCTAGAAAGTGATTTAAAGGTGTAGGTGTTAAACACTGTGCATGGTATCCTCCTTAATCCTCATTTTAAAGTGAAGCAGGCATAAACCCCACTTCACGATGAGGGAGCAATGTAGATAATTTGCTGAGTAACCCAGCTAGAAGCAGAGTCAAACAGTTGACTCTAAAGCCAGTTCTCATTTTCCAACCCTGGATTGGAGGTACCTGACCTGTTAGGAAAGGTTTCCTACTGGGAAATGAGAAAAAGAAACAGAATTCGCCACTAGAGGGAGCGCTAGGCAGTAGCCAAAGCCGCAAAAGGCTGCAGTATTTCAGTGCTATTTGTGAATACCCAGTGTTCCCTGTCACAGATTCACAGTGTTTCATGACCAACTGAATTCACTTTTACATACAGAGTAGGGTAAGGAAGAGCATAAAGGCCCATTTTTTTAAGTAAATTATTCCAAAGCACACAACCTGAACAAAGGAGGAAGTGCAGACTGGCCATGAGTGGCTGGCTTCTAATCAACCACCCATGCTCTCTCCAGCTTTATTCCATCAAGTGCTGACCCAAGTATACCCAATCTTGTCCTCATACCCTAAGAGATTCCAGCCTGAGCCTACGCATCTGTTCAAAAGTCACATATTGTCAGGGCAAAGGGTCTCAGCATTCAGCTGGACTACACCTGAGTCTAGCAAGGAGCAGGTCTTACTTACCCCAAGGATTGCGGTCATCTTATTCTTTCCATAAAGAACCTTCTCCAGGAAGCAGAAGGCTACTTGTTGTCCAACCATCCACTGCCACTGCCCTTTCCAAGCTTTCCCTCCAAGTGAACCTTCATGTTTTTGAGTGGCAGGCAGGAGGGTGGGGAAGAAAGTGTAACTCTGTAATGGGAAAAGTAGGCCTCCCTCCTTTACTCTTTGAACTCCCTACCCAAAAATTTTACTCTCTTTTTGGTCACCTTGAGCAGAAGTTGGAGTACAAAAAGCCTGCCATGCACCCCATCTCCCCTCCCAGGTGACTCCTCTTTGCTAAGGCAGGGAAAAGACCTGTTCTGAGCTGCTTTGAATTAGGCTAGCCCACAGCTCTCTGATGCCAGACTAACACAACTCCTGATCCTTTGGCTTCTTCACCCCTCCACTCCTGCAGACTAGTTGACCAGAGAAATAAAATAATCCAGAGGATTCCTTTTCTCTCCCCCAAGTATTAAGTGCTTTCACTTAAAGGCTGAATACTTTGTTTTTTTTTTTTTTTTTT